TCTTGGAGCAGAAGCAGGCCCCAGAGATTTGTCGTTGCCCACGCCCCGAACACAGCATAATCATGATGAGGACCCCTTGAAAGACAAAGAAAAGCCCGCAGCGGCTCGGATCGTGGTGGAGCAGAACCAGGCCCCAGAGATTTTTCGTTGCCCACGCCCGGAATATATCAAAATTATCATAAGATCATGCTCTTGAGGACTCGGAGGAGCCTTTGAAAGACGAAGATGGGGCCGCACCGGCCCCGAACGTGTTGGAGCCGAAGCAGGCCCCAGAGATTTTTCGTTGCCCACGCCCGGAACACATCAAAGTCATCATAAGATCATGCTCTTGAGGACTCGGAGGAGGATTCGAAAGATGAAGATGGGGCCGCACCGGCCCCGAACTTGTTGGAGCCGAAGCAGGCCCCAGAGATTTGTCATTGCCCACGCCCGGAACACATCAAAATCATCATAAGATCATGCTCTTGAGGACTCGGAGGAGGATTCGAAAGATGAAGATGGGGCCGCACCGGCCCCGGTCCGCTTGGACCAGGAGGAGGCGCCAGAGACTTTTCATAGCCCACTCCCTGAAAATACAATACAATCAGAATGTTGTTTGTGAGTGGACCTGCAGGTGCCGCGGGATGGCCTTCTTGAAGAAGGCATCGCTTTTGGGGATGGCCTTCAGGAAGAAGGCATCCCTTTTTTTGGGGATGGCCTTCAAGAAGAAGGCATCCCTTTTGGCCCCCCGTTGTCAAACAGGCGACAAACACTGTTGGAGACGGGGAGGAAGCGCCGGCGAGGCGGACGAAACTGGGGGAAACCCTGGTGGTCTTGAAAAAGGTGCGTGCTGCAGTTCAGTTTGCAGTTTGTCTTTCTGTGTTGCCGTTTGTGTGCTCCTCCCGTTTGTGTGCTCAGGCCAGACCCGGACAAATTCAGCCGGGTGCTCGGTGCATTCTGCCACCACTTCTGCACCAGTTCGGAAAGCTTCTGTTTGCGGAGTGGCTGTGGCATGCTTTTGCTCGCAGGAGTTCTGGCTCAAGTGCCAAGACATGTCAGTGGAGTTTGACACAGACAGAGCTAGTCCTCCGAAGCCGTCGCAGCAAACCACCACGCCACAAACCGCTGTGATCCAGACACACAGAGCTAATCCTCAGCCGTTGCAGCAAACCACCACAAACCGCTGTGATCCAGACACAGACAGAGCTAATCCTCCGAAGCCGTCGCAGCAAACCAGCACAAACCGCTCTTCAGTCGAACGTCTTTTCAGACCTGAGGACCTATAGTCTGACTACTTAGCCCTAAACCCTAAACCCTTTTACACCTGGACTATGCATATGCCAGGAACCGAGGTGCCGACTAAACCCTAACTAACCATTGATATTATGGGAGCTAAGGAGCCAAGGATGATGATAATCCCTATTAAATAAGGAGCTAAAGAGCCCAGGAAACCCCCAAAACCATTGGTTAGCTAAACCCTAAACCCTAAAACCCTAAACCATAAACCCTAAAACCTAAACCCTAAACCCTAAGCCCTAATGCCTACTTGGCGAATGGATCCCAGCCGCAGCGGAGCTTCGAGCAACGAGGGCACTGATAGCAGCTACAGCAGCAGCAGCAGCAGTGTCAACGATTCGTCTACGTCTACCAGCTGCTCTTCCTCCAGGACCCCGATGCTGACAGTTACGCAAAAGCTGCATCTCGAGTACGGGGAGTTGTTCGTGGACCGCTGCGACCTCAAGGACTTCTTCCAGCAGTTGCCCGACGGCGGCGTCCCGTTGGTGACGGAGTGCGGGGAACCCAGTCATCTCGTGGGAGGAATAAAGAGAGAGAGAGAGAGAGAGAGAGAGAGAGAGAGAGAGAGAGAGAGAGAGAGAGAGAGAGAGAGAGAGAGAGAGAGAGAGAGAGAGAGAGAGAGCGAGAGAGGCAGAACAGTGAGACCAGGACTAAGAGCGGCACCCCCTGCCGCTGGCGGATCTTCGCCTTAGCAAGCGGCACCCCCTGCCGCTGGCGGATTTCCCGCCAGAGATGTGTCTGTTTGGGGTGGGGGGCCGTGCGTGCATGGGCCGAAGCATCTGAGGTTCCGGTGCAGAAACTCCGACACTGGCGCTGGACATGCTCAGCGAAGCTGCCGTCGGTGCCAAGAAGTTTCAGCTGGTGTGTCTTGATTGCAGATTGATCGCCAAGTTGCACGATGTGGTGTCAGTGTCAGGGTAACCGTCAGGGTATTGTGAAATGATGAACTTAGGTCTGCCTGCGACTATGCCAAAGGGCCGCAGAAGTGGATTCAGCGAAATATGCCCGGTGTCCCGTGACTTGTTAGCATCATGAGTCCCAGTCCTCGAAATACATCCTAACTCCTAACCTAAGGCGTCACTTGCTGTTACTGTTTCTAGACACTGAGGATCGCAAAGGATCTTTTTGGACGAAAGCTGGGGCATCTTGCTGGCAAGGCCGCTTCTCTGGACCCGCATCTTTCGATGGGCATCCTTTTGGCATGAGTTTGGTCTTGGTTGCGAGGTCGCGGTGTACGTTGCAGGATTCCCCTGCAAAGCTTTCTCGTTGCTGAGACATCAGACGGATCTGCTAGATGACCCCGAAGCCCGACAGTTTTTCGCTTGCCGCGACCACATCCGAAAACTTCAACCACTGGCTCTTTGTCTGCATTGAATACAGCCTGCGGTGCCACTTGACACTTAAGGCCATGAGTACCTTCCGATTTGCTGATATTTGCTTTCATGCTGAGGTATGTATCCTGGAGAATGTGAAAGGCCTGGGCCGGGTGATGGACAAGGTGCTGACCTCCGATCATGCTCATCTGCCATGTCAGGCTCCAATATGTTGCAACCAAGGTGCTGAAGCACTTAAAGAAGTGCGGGGACTATGGGATCAAGGTGTGCGAGATCGACCCGCTGCTCGGCATTGGCTAGGTCGGGGTGTCAAGGCTGCGAGGCGGTAAATTGGAGTCGAGTCTGAGGCTGGACTATGGAGGGGTCGGCAGTCGCGATCGCTACTACATCATCATGATCCACAAAAGTGTGGCAGTGAAAAAGTTTGAGAAAAAGATCGACGAGACCCTTACGAAGCTCCGATGTGAAAGCACCGAACCTTGGAATCTTGCTTGCAACCTGGAACCATGTGCAGTTTGCAGCATGATGCGTTTTTGTTTACAGGATGTCACTTCTGCTCGACGACGAGTCCGAGCCTGTCAGGGGTCACAAGCGCAAACGCTTCGAGGAAAACGTGCCACCCCTGATCTCCAGGCGGGCCAATCTTGGATGCTGTCGTGACTCTGAATAATAATAAATAAATAAGCCGTCCCTTCGTGGTTCCAAGGAAGCCAGCTCCTGGAGGAGAGAAGTGGAAGGAAAAGCTTTGGAAATTTTTGAAGGAGAAGAAGGCCATCTGCAGCAGAATCAGTCTTTCGATTATGCATGCATACATACATCGTTTGTTTTTTGAATGCTACCGGGCAGGTGTCTGCCAAAGATGCCTACGAAGCGGGATGGAGGAAAGTGCCGGGCCTCGGCGACCTACCTCTTTCGACGCGCCAGATGCATGGGCTCCTCGCTCATTGCGCTTTGGAGCCGGATTGGGTTTGCTTGGACGTGTCGCAGAGTGTGGAACGCATGCGCGCCATCAAAGCAAACCAGCAGCTGGGTTGCAACAAGTGCTGCATCCATGTTGTTTATTATGTGTATTCTGAGTTGGAATGGAACCCGAGGCCGTTCTGCTGTGTCACGCAAGAGCCTTATCTTCCGAAGCATCATGCAAAACATCATGTCAAGTATCGTGTGAGTGCACATTTCCAAGGCCTGGCGGAAGTTTCGTCCTGGCAGCTGGGCGGATGATGTCCAGACAGCCCCTCAGATCGCGGATTCATGCTTGGTTCTCGTGTTGGCCTTCCCCTTACAGGTGAAGAGTTGATGTTGCAGCAGGGCTTCCCGCTGCACAAACTCGATCTGGGAGCCAACACTTCCCAGGCACGATGCCTCTTGTTAACAGATTGTTGTTGCATCATGCCTCAACACAGGAATTGGCGAAGCTTGCTGGCAACAGCATGCATCTCCGTGCCATCGGGGTTGCCTTGTGCGCCTCGTTTCGAGTCCGGGCCCTGGTTTCTGAGCTTAGGTGTTTCAAGGAAAAGCATATTAGCTGAGGCGCTGGATGTCAGCCGCTTCGTGCAAAAGACAAACAAGATGGTGGGCTGAAAAAGATGCGGCTCTTTTCGAGTCCGGGCCCTGGTTTCTGAGCTTTGGTCTTTGAAGGAAAGACTTATTAGCTGAGGTGCTGGATCCATGACGGCCGACTATTTGCTTAAGAAGCCCCCAAAAATAAAAAATACGAATCCTTATATTACCCCTATAAGGTGTGTGTTGGTAATACTAATCCCTATATTGTCCCTATAAGGAATATATTAATATAAAATACTAACCCCTATATTATCCCTATAAGGAATATATTTTTAATTTTTGGGGGTTCTTAAGCAAATAGTAGCGGCTGGTGCTTTGGACAAGCAAGATGTCGGTCTGAAAGATGTGAAGAGACATGGCTTGTGGGATGCAGCTGGACCCTGGCCATGGCGCGAAAATATGAACGACGGACTCTCTCAGACCTGTTATCATGCTCAGTTGATGCCGCAGGGATAGAGACACTTGAAAGCACCCCCGGTGAAATCCACTGCACATATGGGCTCAGTGCATTTTTTGGGGCGCTAGGGCTCCTGCCTCTGATTCATGATGGCAAGCCAGCCGGATGAGACGATGCCCGATGCGGAGGGGCCCGATGCAACTCGTTCGGATGTATGTTCGGTGCGGGGTGCAGTTGGTGCTGCCCATGCTTGCTCAGGATCAAAGAAGCCATGCTGCAGCTGTGGAAGCTGTAAACACTTTCTTCGAAAGTGCACCTTTGCAGAATCTTGCAAATTTGAATCGCAGTGAAGGTCGACGGCCATCTGCTGCTTGTTATTTCGGTTTAAGGTCTGCGAGAAGGAGAACCCTTGCGCGTGGATGTTCCGGACAATGGCCTCCAAAGAGGTCTTCGCGGGGGCATCTTGATTGGTTTTAATATGATTTGCAAACCTGCAGACACCAGTAGCTTGCAATGTTGTTGACATGCTCTGTATCTGTCAGGTCATAGATCACTATATGAGTGAGGGGCGTGGGCATACCCGTTCGCCCTTGTCGCTGGTGCCCCGCGAGAACATGGAAGCCTTCTACCTGCCCCTGAGCTGCTTTGACTACTCCACAGACGGCAAGAACGGTCGCTTCTTGCCATGTGTTCATTGTTGATGTGCCCTGAAGCAAGGATTGCGTTAGTGGGAGAATTAGTGTGAGTGTGAATCGCGATGCGCTTGCTGAGACTTCCCACACCAGAGCCAGCTCCGTGCGCATTTCTTGTCCTTCATCAGCCAGGGCAATGACAGCAGGGAGCCCGTGGCTGTGAGGTTCGAAGCAGTGGAAACCGGAGGGAATCGACAGATCCACCCCCATGGCTTTAACGTTCGCTTCGTGGACGGCCAGTGCAAAGTCCTGATCATGCAACTGGCGGTGTGCATCGCGCACAAGCTGGGCTTGGAGAAGGACGTGCTCAGGACATTGCCGTCCTTTGCTATGGTTCTCTGCTCGCACACCAAGCACGCATCCCTGGCAGCCTACCACTACGATGCTCTCCGTCTCTTCGCTGTGTTGAGGGGTTGGCCTTGTTGAGATTTGTTGAGGTTCATGTAGCGAAAAGCAAAGTTCAGGTGAACAAGCGGCAACCCACGCCGCTGGCGGCTCGTTCCGCCCAGAACTTCGAGAGTTCAAGACAGAAGAAGATCGAGAGGGTGACAGCAGAGGGAAAAGACACAAACCAGGGGGCAGCTAACCTGACAGGCTTGGGCGCCCGGACAGCGGAGAAGCAAGCTCCTTCGGCGTTGCAGTACATGGCCGAAATTGAGCAGGCGATGAAGTGCGAAAAGGCGCTGAGCACCAGGCCTGGCCGCACCTTTCGCTATTTTTTGACATTCCAACGGTGACTGTCTCAGGAAAGTCACGACCCGCGAACTCCTCTCGAAGTGTATCGCGGACTACAACAAGTTGATCACGGTGAAAAAATGGAGAATCGACTCCGGCAAGCGGAAGCTCATCTCCAATTTGATGGATGTTGGCCCCTCCTTCCGTGCGATCCTCAGCAGGCACTACGACTTTTACCCGCACTCCTCCTCAGGACTGGGGGGTGGGCGGATAGAGAACGAGAGACAGGGAGAGACAGCGAGGGACAGGGCCCAAGCCATGTTGCTGCTGCTGCCGCCTGTTTCGTGTCTCGTTGCTACTGGCCATCTTCAGCTTCAGTGCTCTCTGTGTGTGCTCCTTACGACGCAACACAGCCCCGATCCCTAAATACGGCCGATGAAAATGTAATAAAGACACCACCACCGACCTGTATCATCATTGGTTGGAATTTATTTGGCACATGCCATACATATCCTTGAACCCAAAACCTGGACCCTGAACATAAAATTCTTAGTCTTGAACCTAAACCAAAATACTTCGCATATCAACGACACCAACTCTTGCCGAAGGCTGTAACCTGCTGACACCCCGAGCCTCACAAAACCCAGCTGCCCCTGAACCCATGGGATCCCATGGGCATTCATGGGAAAGTGGCGTTGCGATGACGCTAGCGACTCGCAGCCTCGAAGCCGTTCTCCACTGGCGTGGCGAAGGTTCGATGCAGATGCCCGATCGTCTGGCCAGTGTGAATCCGAATCCGGCGACTCCGAATCCGAAACGACTTCGAAGGAGGCTCGCAACGCTCGTCTTGAAAGTTATATAACTAATTATTTAACGCGGACGCCAGTTTGATATTTCCAGACCATGTGCTCATGTGAGGCTGCCAGCAGCGGCAGCTGCAGCAGCAGCTCGACAAGCAGCTCCGTTAAGGTTGCAGAGTTAAACCTGAATTATATGCACGCTATGCAGACGCTGGATGGAGCACAGGACGAGAGCGTGTATGCCGCCCGTGGTAAGAGTCGCAAGCGCATCAAGAAGGTTCTTGCTGGGAAGTCAAACTCGGGATGCCGGTGCAGAAGGAAGCCTATTGGCAACCAAACATTATAGCCATGTGTTGTGTTTGCATATAATTAGTACATGCTCATTATTGCTAACGCCTGCTTATGTCCAGCAAGTCGTGGTGCAAGCTATGATTTGGAACTAACTTGAGGTGTTGGAAGCTCATAACGTTTCGCAAGCTCCTCGCATTGTGCACCGCGTTTTGGACACTCAGCAAAGCTGGTCAAGACCTTTTGCTCTGGTCAGCGCAAAATACCTGTTATGGAGATGAAGACGATTCGGATCCGTCCGACGATGAGGGTCCTTGGCAGCAAGGCCCTGGCCCTAGGGTGGACAAGCAGCAGTGGACGATTTGTGGCGTCTCGATTGCATAAAGCTTCGAATCATTTGGTGGAGTGCGTGCCAAAACTTCATATCACTTCCAATCTCCCAGGTGTCCGCGTTTGCCGACGAGCCTTCGCTCGGATGATGGGTGTGAGCCAAACCAGGCTACAAAGAGCGCGGCACCGTTACCGGGGCCTTGACGAAAGGACTTTGAGAAGCGCCTTGGCCCCATTGTCCTTGTTCGAGTCAGACGATATGTCGGATTCGCCCGCGGGAACTGTGAGGCCATAACGCAGGAAGACCGAGTCTGGCATACACCAGTGTGCACACCTTCTTCAAGCATCTGTATCATTCGGTGGCCGAATTCAACCCGGTCGGGTGACTCGTCTTTCCTGGCAGGGTTTCCGTGAACAGGAAGACACACTTCTCAGTTGGTATTTTATGACTAGTATGTCCAGTAATTGACCCAAGACTTACCCTCCAGAAACTTCGATCAGAGTAACGTCCCAGTTGAATCCCCGCGTGACTTGTGCTTCCTTGCAGGGTTTAGTTCTGAAGGTATCCGTCAACAGGAACCAAACCCACCACGATAAGAGCAAACCATCAGAGCCCAAACCAGACCCCGGGATTGCTTCAGGCTTGTCCGCAAATCGCTGACCCCCGTGGAGATGCGACAGCAAATAATGGGGAAGCTTTTACATTCAGCGTTAGGCAGAGAGCATGCAGAGCCGGAGACGCTCGCTTTAAAGATGCTGCCGCCGGGGCGTTGGAGCCACATGTTTCAGCTCTACGTATCGAAATGCATCTCGATGAACGAAGCAGCCGCGTCGAGAACGACCTTCTATCAAGTCTGCCGCCGTTGGACATGTTGTTTGTCTCTCCGTGCGAGGAGCCAACATTCCATTTGCCTGGTGTGCGATAGACTTCGTGCTCGGCTGAGGGCTGCGAAAGACCTGCATACCCATATGCAGGTCTGTGAAGAGCTCCTGGAGCACCTGGGTATGCAGTGGCGATGCAGGCAGCGCTACTGGGAAGCCCGGGAACGCTCCAGGAAACACGATGACCTACTGTGTATGATCATCGACGGGTTTGACAAATCAAAGCCCGTGGTCCCGCGCTGGACATCAGGCCGACCTCCCAAAGGAGGTGTATTTGAGCGGGTCCGCCGGCCGGGGCTCAGCATAGCGTGCGTTTTGGCGCATGGCTTCGCTGTGCATATCTTTGTGGCTTCTGAGGAGACGCCAGACAATTCTTCGTGGACGTGGGAATGCCTGTCTCGAGCTCTTCAAGCCACTCACGAGCATTGCTGCAAACAGAACTGGCGCTTCCCTTCGCAGCTGTGGATTCAGGGGGACAATACTGTCCGCGAGCTAAAGAACCAGCAAAGTGCTCTTTGTTCAGCGATGCTGCTGTCTGCAGGACGGGCGGTCTTCTGAGTGAAGTTTCGGACGTTTCCAGTGTCTGATTCGATCTGATTGAGTGAAGTCCTTCGACATGCATTGTGCATCATATGGTCCCTGGTCAGGATGCTTTCGCCAGGTTGGTGTGCACCACCTGCCCATTGGGCACACTCACGAAGATGTTGGTCGCTGTGCTGCAATAAGACGTTTTGGGTGACATCTAGGTGGCAAGCTTCCGGTTTCACGAATTCACAGTACAGTTGAACAGAAACTAACGGAGCTTTGGAATGAACCCCGTGCTGAGACGGAGTCTTTGCGGCTGTGGCTGAGCTGATCACATCGGCTTCCGACGAGGTGCAAACACGCGCAGACGTGGTGCGGTTGCTGCAGGACCGCATGGCAAAACTTGCCTCGGATCGAGGCGAAAAACTTTTCGTGCACTGTGTCGATGCTGCGCTTCGCTGTCAACATTAATCGTTCTGTGCTGTATTCTTAGAAATTGTACAAATCTGTCAGCTTTTGTTCCCAAAACATCAGTCAGCAGTAAACCAATCCGTGTTCAGCTCCAAGGTACGGCCCTTCAAAAAACTTCTTCCTGACATCGTGTCGCTCAACAATGCGTTTAAAGAGCGTGGGCCGTTGGATGTTGACAGGAAACTGGTCCCGCAGTCTTTCACGCGTCTTAGCCGCACATCCCGAAATTCACCTTGTTCTTCCAAGTGTTACATGGGGACTGCATGTGAATCGCCAATTGTGTGGGTTCTGCCGACACGAGGTACAAAGCAAGGTTGAACATGACCCCGGAAGAGCTCGACTTCTGCAAGCAACGTTTGCCTCCGGGTGTACGGCAATCCCCGGGCGACATCTTCTGTCTCCTGAAAAAAAACCTTTGCGATGATGAGTACTCGTCTGGGGTGCTTATATTTCCCGGTGCTTTCCGTGACAGGGCTGAGAACATGATCAATCAAGTCCTGGACCATCGTGGAGAGACTTTCCAGATGGACGATGACCGGAAGGATTCATGAGGGGACGACAGTCGTGCAAATTCATTAAACTTAGACTTGTCAATTCAACGTTGGCAAGCGGATTTGCCACAATTTTCCAGCTAAGTCTTGACAGGAAGAGCTGACCGAGCTGGCAGATGCCCTGAGAACGGCCTATCCTCACTACGGCCGGGCTGTTCACTACATAGCTCAAATAACAGGTCGTGCTTCGCTGGCGAGAGTTCCCGCGCCTCGCCTCACCTTTCTGCAGAGTTTGGCCAATCGTCCCTCGACTGAATCTCAAGCAGTATGTTGCAGACGCCATCCCTTGCATTTGTGCTGTGCAACGAGGCTTCTCGGTGCACGGACAACGTGCGCCGCCAGCGAGGGCAGCCGCCCGCGCACAGGTTTTGCCGATGCGTGTCGTTTTCCATAGAAGGCTGTAATGGCTTTGGCAAAGATGCGGCGTCAACTGTTCACAAATCAGCCGGAAAAAAATCGTTGCTTCGAGGTTCTGGAGCCAGACAATGCCTCCCCTTTAAACAACCCCAAAGCACAGAAGCTTCCCATTCAAAAGCCGCTTGGCCGCAAGCTTGCCAATGGCTCAGGACTCAGCAGACCTTTGCTAGTCATGCCCGCTGAAACCATGAATAAGTCACGAGTTCGTCCGGGCAAGTTTGCCTTGAAAAGCTGGTTCGCAAATGCGAGAAAGCAGATGCTGCTAGTACGCTTCAGGATCGGCAACCACCTCCTGAAGAAGTTTCGACATGCCTATCGGCACTTTAAGAGGAAGCATGAACGTGCACGAAGCCTGAAGAGACCGAGGGACGAAGTGGTCCGGTATCGCAGGAAGAGATACTGCTGCAGGCAGGCTGTGGTTCTCGCCCGAACGGGCCTGAGAGGCGCTGCGGCTCTACTGCAGAAATTGAAATGACGTGCGGAGCCTTGCTGTATATAGCTTCTTTTGCTCCGTGGGGCAAGTTGGCTTCCGAATGAGATGTGTGAACAAACTTCAAGCCTTGAAGTTTGTATTGGTTTGCGGGCTGAACAGTGCAACCGAGAGCTGGCTCTGAGGCGAACTCGAAAGGAATTGGCGCGATCAGAGTTCGAGCGACATGTCGGGTTGTTGTCTACCGCCTGCTAATACACCTGACGCCTGACGCAGGACTGCCGTACGAGATCTTGGAGTCTGACTTCTACATTACGGGTATGGATGGCAACCCTCCCGGGATTGGCTGGCGGCAGATACTCCAGGTCACCGAAGAGGGCCAGCTCTGTTACCTGAACAGAGTGGTGAAGGGCTTCGAGGCGCAGGCAGCGCCGAACTCCAGCCAGAAAACCAAGGACTGCTTCTCTTCGTTACGAGGGTTTTATTCGGCACGATTTTGCGTAGTTTGTTGAGTCATGTCGGTCAATCATGTGCCCTGTAAGAAAGCGGCCCAGATGCCGCTGGAGAAGCATCAAGAGTTGCTGCAGTTTTCGCAGATGTGGGTTGGAGCTTTGTCGGCTTTGCGAGCGAAGTTTGATGAGAAGACTATGACTCGCCTCGAAGAGATGTTCATGCAGGGGCTGCTCAGCTGCATTATTTGGCATTCTACGAGTGTCCATATCTTTAGGTTGTGAATGCGGATGGATTGTGGGGAGTAGGGAATACTGCGGCGAGAAACTCCCTAATTGGCTCAGGGATAGCATTCTTGGGGGGACTGGAATTGCTTTCGGGCGGCCAAATCCATTTGGCTGGCTCTGCCATGGGGCTCAGGGATAGCATTCCCCGGCGGACTAGATTGCTTATTTTTAATTTGGGACATCCAAATCCATTGGGCTGGCTCTGGGGCTCAGGGATAGCATTCCCTGGCGGACTGGCATTGCTTAAGGGATGTGTTCGACGAGGGACTACTGTAGCCAAATTGGATTTGGCCACCGAGATCGTGACTGGTTTTACAGAAAACCAGTCGCGCAGCCGGCGGCCAAAGCCATTTGGCCACCGAGATCGTGACTGGTTTTACAGAAAACCAGTCGCGCAACCGGCGGCCAAATCCATTTGGCCACCGAGATCGTGACTGGTTTTACAGAAAACCAGTCGCGCAACCGGCGGCCAAATCCATTTGGCCACCGAGATCGTGACTGGTTTTACAGAAAACCAGTCGCGCAACCGGCGGCCAAAGCCATTTGGCCACCGAGATCGTGACTGGTTTTACAGAAAACCAGTCGCGCAACCGGCGGCCAAATCCATTTGGCCACCGAGATCGTGACTGGTTTTACAGAAAACCAGTCGCGCAACCGGCGGCCAAATCCACATGGCGATTTTGACTGGATTCCTGGAAAACCAGTCGCGAAATCATAGGTATATGGAGGTCTCAGTCGCAGCTTGGACTATTGAATCCGAACACCAGCCGTGACTGACATCCACCAAGACCAGTGATTCTGTGACTGGTTTTCTGGAAATCCAGTCGCAACTCCGGGTGTCTAGAAACAGCTTGGTGCTTGACTGGTTTTAGGAGGTTTTGGGGGGTTTGTTGTTTTTTCAACTTCCCTCCTACCTAGCCAGGACGAGCCCGCATTGCAGGGTAACTTCGAACCTTAAACCCTAAACCCTCAAGAGCAGGATAAATAGAAATTGTGTGTCTTTCGCTTCGATATGGATTGCATCTTCGATATTTTCGAATTTTCCTTAAACGTGTGCGTGGAAAGCCACACCCGCCCAGGCCAGTCCTGCCCAGCCTAACCCAGCCCAATTCAGCAGCTCCCAACCAGCCCCAGGTCCAGCCCCGCCCACAGCCCAGCAGCCAGCCCCAGCCCAGCAGCACCCCAGCCAGCCCCAGCCCAGCCAACCCACCCAGCCCAGCCCCCACCCAGCCCGCACCAGCCAGCTCGGACCCCAGTCCGCCACCCAAAATGAAAGTTTCAAGTTCAAAAAACAAAACCTGCTCAGAACTTTCGGTCAAAACGTTTCGGTCAAAACTGTCCCCCAAATCCCAGAAACCAAAATTCAAAAGCAAAACCCAAAACCCGGCAAAACCCCCAAAAACTCCGGACCCAAACCCTATACAATTTCTATGAACCCCTAAACCCTCAACCCCGAAACTGATCTGTGCAGGCTACTGGACACGGACCTTCGCGGGCAGTTGCACGGCCGGGACAGCTTGAACGTGGACAAGCTTCCTGTGGTCTTGGAAATGGAGGGAAAGGTGTCAGAAGCCTTTGTCCTCAACTCGCAAAGCAAGCTCAACAACGCGAAGCACGCCGCACTCAAAGCCGCCTACCAGGTGTGGAGAGAGGAGCTGAAAGCCGACCAGCTGAACCATGAGACAATGGTCCGTTCGTGCCTTTCAGAAAGCGCAAAGCGCAGGAATGCGTTGCTCAGGTCCTTGGAGGCCGGAGGTCCATAAATCCAACGTTTCTGTCATGTGCGTTGCCCCGGGTGAGCCGTGGACAGGAGGCCCACCACCGAGCCTGGGCAATGGTGGAGGACCACTGTGCTGCGCGGGCAAAGGTCTTTGGGACCCCCGCGAACCAGCTCAACGACGCGGTTTCGTGGCAGCAATCAGCACAGACTCCCCCGGCGCAGCAAATCAGAGGAGATGCTTGAAGATGAACCAAGGTGATGCCGACGATCCTGCCGCACTTGCAGCAGAGCTTCGGCCCGGCGCTGGATGGCAAGCCGGGGGAGGAGGCACTGGTGATGCTGCTCGGCAGAATTATTTTGAGCTGAGTGCCAGTCGCCTCATGATGAATTTCGGCCCACCCTCCCGCTTGGCAGGATATGGAATTTGCCAAGCCAAGGGGTTTTAACTGCCCTCAAGACGGAGTATTGCGTGAGCTGCACCACCAATGTTTTGTCGTTGCATCCGTTGCGCGGCGTGGCGGTGATAGTGTTTCCTAACCGCGCAGCCGCTCCGGTGGAAAAAAAGACGCCTCTTCGGCAGCAGCACGATGTTTGTGTTATTTTGGATTCAAAGCCCTGTGTTGATTCAGCACTCCGTATTCTCCTTTAATTTCCATTGCCGGTTCCAAGGAAAGATGAAGACGACGAAGAGGAGGAGGTAAAGGAGGAGGAGAACCAAGACGACGAAGACGCCGTCGGCGACAGCGAGAAAACCGAGGAGGAGGTGGCTTCGGACCAAGCGGTGAGAGCACTCAGGTACGACCTCCTCAAGCTCTTCAGCGAGCCGAAGAGAAGGTTGGAGGTGAAAGAGTGCATCTTTCAGTTTTCGGAGGACAGTGTCTTTGGTCT